AGAGAGAGAGAGAGAGAGAGAGAGAGAGAGAGAGAGAGAGAGAGAGAGAGAGCTGCAGCATGCAGCATGTCAGTGGCGGGGAGCACAAGGGCAGGTGCTGGCCTCCGAAAAAGAAAGATGTTTTTTTTTTGGAATACAAGAGTTTGTTTCTTTTCGAAACCCAAATAAAAAGGGTACACGTATTCGAATACAACGTGTACGTAACTGCCATTTCGTCAACATGGACATCTTTTATTTTCTGAACGAAATTGAAACCGAGTTTTTTGGCCGAAAACTCGTCAAAATTTGGTGTTCCTGAGGGTCCGGCGTTTGTAAAATGCTGGACCCCTTGGCTGTACACTACATGGACCTAGCTTGACCCCGCCGTTTCAATTTCGAAAAAGGCTTAAACCACCAGTACCTGGCTCAGCTATCAAGTCCGAGGCTCAGACTACGGGTAGCCCAATGATTCCCGAGCCTCGGACTTTATTGCCGAGCCTCGGACAACCGCTAGTACATCACTGAAAAAGAAGAAGTACATCACAGAAAAAGAAGAAGAAGAAGAAAAAAAAAAAAAAAAACCTACAACATTCTGCAAAAAAAAATGAAAAAAAAGAAAGGAAATCAGACATGCCCAACGAGAATGAATCAAAGGAAGATTCATTCTCGTGAATGGTTCACTCACACACACAGAGAGAGAGAGAGAGAGAGAGAGAGAGAGAGAGAGAGAGAGAGAGAGAGAGAGAGAGAGGGCATCAGGGAGTTTCTGACGCCGAGTCAGAAACTCCCTGATGCCCTCTCTCCCTTTCTCTCTCTCTCTCGTTCTTCCCTCCCCTTCCCCGCTGCCTTGCCCTTTTTTTTCTCGTTTGTTACTTCTCATTTTCGTCATATATATATATATATTTTTGGCCCGTTTTCGGGGGAATAAAGGTCCTATGCGGTCCTGGCCCTTGCAAGGCCCCTACACCTCAAAATGCCAACCCTCCCGACGACCACCCACGTTGGAATTTGAGTGAACATTGAAATGTTCGAATTTGAGTGAACATTCATTCAAATGTTCGCAGCCCGTCAGGGTTGCGTTTCCCCCCACTGAGTCTCAGGCCAGGTTTCCCGAATCAACTCTCAATCTGGACCGTGACCGTGCACGGTCCAGATTGAGAGTAGATTATTAGGAAGGAGGCGCGGCACTGGCCCGGTACCCGCCGTAGCACAGGTCCTGGCCCCGCCGCGAATGCTGGCGGTACCCCTCGCGGGGCGGTACACGGCGCAGGTCCCCGCACGCTGCCGCCGGCAACGAACTTTCTCAGGTTTGGGAGGCGGCGCCACAAAGAAACCCCGCCCCTATATGCTCGACTTCGACTTTGGAACTCTACGCGGACATGTGTGTGAGAGAGACGCTCGACTCTCGACCCGCTAGTCTGCGTTGTATGCTAAGCAGGACTCTCGACCCGCTAGTCTGCGTTGTATGCTAAGCAGGACTCTCGACTGGCTACTCAGACCGTCTACTCGGACGTGTGTGTATGTGTAAGAGGAGAGGAGGGGCCGGGGGCGAGCGGGCGGGCGAGCGCGCGAGGGAGAGAGAGGGAGAGAGAGAGAGAGAGCGCGCGAGTGGCTACTCGAGAGAGAGAGAGAGAGAGAGAGAGAGAGAGAGAGAGAGAGAGAGAGAGAGAGAGAGAGAGAGAGAGGGCTCTCTGCTGGCTACTTGATCGATCGGTCGATCGATCGATCGATCGATCAATCGAGAGAGAGAGGGCTCTCTACTGACTACTCGATCGAGCGAGCGAGCGAGC